TCAGTCATCCATCCATTTATGCCAGCCAGAATGGGTGAGCTGGGCTTGAGGCTTCTGCCTTCAGATTTAGTGAGGCCAGTAGGGCTAGAGGGAGTTGAGGCTTCCTTTATATGGAGTCTGACAAGATGCCCATCTTGGGGAAAGAAGAGGCCAGCAATTTCACAGACTTGGAGCTGGTCTAATTTGTATTCCTGTGATGGACAGCTACCCCAGCCCCTCCCAGATGTAGGGCACGAGCCCTTCCTAGTTGGAAGCAAGGTGCCCATCTAACCTAGACTTTGTGCATGATTAAACTCTCAGTGACAAGTGAGGATCATAAGTCCAACAGTGCAGACCCAGAGTCCTCTAAGAAAACTTGTTAAGGTGGAGTTGTTTTGGGTCACTGTTGAAAACCTCTTTATCATCATCTAATAATGGGCAGGGGTGGGGTACCATGCTTCCTGGTTCCAGAGGTGGCTGAGAAGTGTCACTGGCGAGTACTGCAGGTGTAGTGTACACCGGGGGAATCTCCGCTTGCTCGTGCTGCTCACACAGAACAAAGTAGGAAGGGGGCCCACTAGCCCTGGGGACCCTGAGTGGGCGCCAGATACAGCTTTTCTGGGAGCACAAGCACAGAAACGCCCTGAAGTCATTCTGTGTTCCAGACTACAAGTCAGACTATCTTCTCTGCACGTTCTAGTGATGCAAAGGCCCTTGGCAAAAGTTTATGTCTTTCATAGATTATGGCCTAGAAAAGAAGAGACAGAATGTGATGGTTTGAGGCCATTTTGGTGCCTGGGCATAATTCCAGTTTTGAACAGAAATAAAACACGTAAAGTTCTACACATTATCCTCTGTAGGTAACAATACAATGGGCCAGATTTGCTATTAATATAGATTAAAAGCAGGCATTTGAGTAAGGTTCAATTCCTCTTCCATTCTCCTCTGTGATCCTCTTATATATAACATTTACTGACCTTTGAACAGCCCGGGGATGCTTCACAGTGCCTTATTCTTGATGCCTCTTTAAAGGTTCCTATTTCATATTCACAGCTGGCATATGCAAATATAGGTAAAGATTATGATGCCTCCCAAGTAGCATTATGGTCAATAAATTACTCCTTGGGTGAACATGCTGTCATTTCAGCCTAACAGGTCTGCAATGAGTTACAGAAGTTCCTGTGCCAGGCAGGGCAGCCTGCAGTGCCATTCACAAAGCTGGTTGCTCAGATCTTCGTGATTTGGGTGTGATTCTCAGCCAGGGTCTTCCCATCTTTTGGTGCCAAAGAACTCCTATTATTTTTTGTTGGGGGGCATGGGAGGGGTATTTTATATAGATTTGGGGACACGGAGAGCATGAAAATCCAAGCATGCCAGGATTGTCTGGGAGAAACACTGTACAACAGAAAAGAGCACACTTTCATTCAAGAATTTGAGCCACTTGGTCTACATCCTGCGTCTGTAAGTAAACGGCTGTGTGACCTTGGATCAGTCACTTTACTTCTCGGCACTTGGATTATTTTCCTGTAACAAACAAGAAGGATGTACAGGGTCAGCCATTTCCACTGCAATTTTTTTGATCAGTGGGATCTTTCCTTCAATGGAGTTCTCAGGTGGAAGCCCAGGGCAGACTTGTTCCAATGCTAGGAAATAGTTGCTCAGCCCCCATGCAACTGCCTGGAAGCAGTTTTAAGTTTACTAAATCAGAGATGTGTCTACGCTGAACTCTTTCCCTGAGGGTCCTGTGTGACAGAGTTCTGTCCTGAGCTTGGACTCCAGCTCAGGACAGACTCATGAAAGGCCAGACCATGGACCTGGGGGCTCCATCCATTCTGTCAGTGTTACCCCCATGTGTCCAGCATTTGGTAAACAGCTCTGTGTATGATTGTTGATTGGAGCAGTGAATAAATAAATGAACAAACTGAACAGTCTTCAGAAAGCCCTATCACTACATGACCAATAAAAGGGAATTTTCACTACACCCTTTCGGCTATCCAAAAATTAACTTTCAGAAATATAAATGATTTCAAACTTTTTTTTATTTTATATATGTTTTATATCCTTTTTCATTTTTGCACAATGTATGCATTTTCACTTTGATTATAGTCCCCATACAATTCCCACCCCCCTTATTTTGACCCTAATCCCTCCTTCCTGCCCCCCCCCCCAGTGTATGTCTGGTTTAGAGTTGCTTGTTGATTTTCATTTTTACTTTACTATAATTAGTCTTTTTCCTGGTCCCTTATTTAGGTTTTCTAAATTCCTGCTATGAGTGAGACCATCCGGTATTTTTCTTTCTCTTTCTGGTTTATTTCGCTGAGCATGATCCCTTCCAGCTCCATCCATGTTGCTGCAAATGGCATGAGTTTATCTTTTTTTGATCACTGAGTAATATTCCATTGTGTATATGTACCACATCTTCTTGATCCAGTCATCTTTTTGGGGGGCATTTGCTTAGCTATTGTAAATAGTGGTGCTATTTTAATGTAGTGACCTAATCCTCTGCTGTCCCTCCTAGAAGTGGGGTAGATCCCAATTGAGATAAGGGATGATCACACCCAAATTTGAAGACAGCACTCAAATGAAAGGCTGTGAGGTATTTCATTGGTTTATTTTTATATTGATCACATGCTAACATGGCAATCTGTTAGGTGAGGTGAAATATGTTAATTAAAATTAACTTAACCTGTTGAGTTCCCGCGTCTCCGGAGTGCTGAGGGGTCCTGAGGCAGCATGTGGCGGGCTCTGGCCAGGAGACTCCAGGACCCCGGCAGCTGCCTCCGTCCTCTGTGCTGGACCCCAGCGCCCCCCAGCGCCGCTCCCGAGCCCTCGCGCGTCTGTGAGAGCAGTGACAACGGACAAATCTCTGGTCACAACCTCAGGAGATTTTTTAAGCGTGATATGAAACCACTGCCATCCATGGAGGGCCTGGAAAGATCTTAGAATATTGTCATATGTCCTTGGGCAGCTTCTAGGAGCAAGGAAGGCAAACAGAATATATACTGATGGGAGAAGAGACGGTGGTACTAGAAGACACTTACGAGCTAAGAAATATCTGGAGGATATGGAGAGATAAATCACTGCACCTTCCAAGATGATTCTGAACAACCACTCAAACTATTCTTTAATGCCCAGAAATGTATGGCTTCTTCTACTTAATCCATTTCTTCTATACAACGTGAAGAAAACAAGTGCAAAGGATAGACTAAGGTCATGGACTACAGGTGCTTTGCTGGTTTCTAAATTCCTGCTATGAGTGAGACCATCCAGTGTTTTTCGTCTTCTTTCTGGCTTATTTCGCTGAGCATCATCCCTTCCAGCACCATCCATGTTGCTGCAAATTGCATGTGTTTTATCTTTTTTGATTGCTGAGTAATATTCCATGGTGTCTATGTACCACATCTTCTTGATCCAGGCATCTATTTTTGGGCATTTGGGTTGTTTCCAAAGCTTGGCTATTGTAAACAGTGCTGCTATAAACATAGGGGTGCAGGTGTTCTTTGGAGTTGATGTTTCTGTGTCCTTTGGGTAAATACCTAGGAGTGGAATTGCTGGATCCTATGGAAGCTCTATGTTTAGTAGGTCCAGAAATCTCCACACAGCTATCCATAGTGGTTGGACCAGTTTGCACTCCCACCAGCAGTGCAGGAGAGTTCCTTTTTCTCCACATCCTCGCCAACATTTGTTGTTGCTAGTTTTTTAAATACGTGCCATTCTCACTGGTGTAAGATGGTATCTCATAGTCGTTTTGATTTGCATTTCCCTGATGACAAGTGATGTTGAACATTTTTTCATATGCCTGGTGGCCATTTGCATTTACTCTTTGAAGAAGTTTCTTTTTAGCTCTTCTGCCCATTTTGTGACTGGATTATTTACTTTGTTTTTTGAGTCTCTTCAGCTCGCTAAGAGCATTCATTATTCTATGAGGACATCAGAAGTCTGCATACTTAAATCTCTAGAAACTTCTAAATATTGATTTTACACATGATCATCACCAAAGAAATCTTTCAGGATCAGTACAATCCTGATTACTTTCTGAACTGTGTAGGTTTTTCTTCTGATTCATCCATGAAAAATACTTGTTTTAGAATTGAAAAAATCCCCATTCTTTGCCCCCTCTTGTCATCGATGAAGACATAGAGGTGCCGCTGAAAGCCATCTTCCCTCAGCGCCCACGGGCCCTAGGAGGAGACAGTGATGATCACTGAGGGAAGGGAAGGGAAGGGCAGCCGTAGTCTCTTCTGACTTGCTGGAGAAGCAGCTGTCAGTAGTTCTCCTGAAGCCTCCTAATAAAGGTTAAAGGCTCCATTTAACTAAGCCCCTGGCGGGGCCTCCAGGATGGTCCAGGGGTTAGGCTCAGTGCTCTCACCGCTGCGGCCTGAGTTCAAGCCCCGGCCAGGGAGCTACCCGCAAGGAGCGTGGGAGTTAGCCCCCGTAAGGGGGCATGGAGCTAGAGCGCATGTGGTGCAGCAGAAGGTCTCTTCTCTCTGTGCCTGCTGCTCCGCTATGCTCTGTGCTTCAGATCTCGCCTGCCTTCCTTGCCCCGCCCCCGCCTTCCTTGCCCCGCCCCCGCCTTCCTTGCCCCGCCCCCCCGCCTTCCTTGCCCCGCCCCCGCCTTCCTTGCCCCGCCCCCGCCTTCCTTGCCCCGCCCCCGCCCTTGCCCCGCCCCCTCCAAGTTCTTCCTAGTAAAATCTAACACCTAGATACTCCCTGAGTGCAATGTGTATATCAGTCGATTAACGACTAACCATGCCACTAAACACCCCTCCGTATGTAAAGCATCTATTACCCCGTAGTATCTTGAGGTTTTTGGCATAAATCAACTACACCATTTGTTCTTTAAAAAAATTAACTTAACCTGTTAATCTCTTATGTGACCACTAGAAAATTTTCTAGATGGGACTCCTGGCGGTGGCCGATGTGTCTCTGTCACCAGTCCTGCCCCGACAGCTGATGAATGATCACTGGTAATTACTCTTCCATATTTGCCTGTGAGTGATCGTGTGTGTGTTTCTCCCCAGGCGCAGAAGCTGAAATCCAATGTGTCGGGCACCACACACCTCTGTCTTTCTGATGTAAGTGACATTTCTTTCTGGGTCCCCCCGTATTTCTAGTGGCAGTCCCCCTCCATCCACCCTACCCCATCCCCCCAAGCAGGATATAGGTGAAGGGCTCAAAGAGAACAAGGTTTTAGTCCAGAAAATAAAGTAAGGTGCCCACAAGCTCCTCTGCCCTTTGAGCAAGGTCCGGTCAGCAGAGTCCACAGCACAAAGGTGGAACCAAGTATGGGACCTGGATCCTTATCTGAACTGGACCCAGCAGAAGGCCATGTTCCAGGGCCATGGTCTGAGGTCACAATCGTGTGAAGTCCCCCAGCCCCGAGAAAGGATACATAAGAGTGCTCTGCTTACCAGAGTCCCTAGCACTGGCTACAATTTCTTTGACCATCCACAGCAACCCAGAGATTTCTAGGGCAGACTGTATTCCTCTCCCCAGCTTAAGTCGGAGGAGAGGATGATTCTGTCCCATGCCCAGCTGATGCTGGGGATGTGGTTGGGGACATTGACCCTGGGATTCTATGCGGAATGAGAGTCTGGAAGCCTGGTTTTGGTTTGGGCTCTTTGATTGACAAGCAGGGCAGCCTCCTTCTTCTGTGACATCTAGGGCTGAACTGGCCTAGAACTGCATGATGGGGAGGCACAGAAAGCATCGCCCCTCAGTCAGTGGTGTCCCCAAGGAGAAGGGTACCATGTAGCACAGCTCTGCAGATGGGGTGAAGAATGGCAGGGATACTGGGCTCTTATCTTGTCCCCCCAAGTGGATTTAATCTCTGTAATAGAGCAACTAGAGTATGGCTTGGCCAGCCAATTTATCAGGAGTATCTAGTTCTTACCCAATTCATGATCCGTCCCATAAAATGACAAATCAGTGAAATGAAGTGTTAATGGTAAAGTCTTGGGTGGGCTTGGGTGAGTGGAATAGCTATTTGGGGGCATGGGGCGAGAGACAAAAACTATATAGAGGGCTGAATGAATACATGCAGTGAGTGATGATGCAAACCTTCTTTCTTGCAGCGTGATTATGAAAAGGATGGTCTCGCTGGTGCTTCCAGCCACATAACCACACAATCAATGGCTGCCCCTGCAAGCTGTGGTCTGAACCCACTGCTGGTTCTGGTGGTAACCGCCCTGTTCACCTTATCTTTATCTTTGGCAGAAACATCGTAGCTGCATTGAAAAAAAATAATATGGACCTGTAAAAAGACAAAAACCAAGTTATCTGTTTCCTGTCCTCTTGTATATCTGAAATTCCAGTTTTAGGAGCTCAGTTGAGACACTGCTAAAACAGTTTCATCCAACTGGAACGTTGTTTACTTTTCTTTTTTCCAAGAAAGCTTCTCGTGATCCTTAGGGCTTCTATGGGATATTCAATGCAGTGCTACATTCCAAACTCAGAAGGCTTTGGGGCATGCTGAAACCAACAGGGACAGTGTTAGATGTGGCGGTAAGGCAGGGGAGGGCCATGCTTTTCGTAATGATGATTTTAATCATTTAACTCTGACCTTAAGTAGCTAGAGGGGTTAGTGTTTCTAAAGATTTTTCTGTAGCTCGTGTCATAGGTTTGGTTTCTGAGGGCATGACTGCAGCCTCCCCTGGATGTCAAGCTTTTTTGTCACACAGTGATGATTCTCACTCAGAGAATCCTGATGGACTCTGTGCAAACAAGCTTGTGCCCACCTTTACCTTTCCACGCCAATGTGTGTGTTCGTCAGCTGTTCTGCACACTCCTTCAGAGCAGAAAACACCTGTCCCATCCAAACGTGTCTGTCTTTAGCCAAAATAGAGCATGAGAGTGAGCGTGAAACCTCACCGTCCTCTGGTCACTGAACACCACACCCCTCAGCCTTACCTGAGTGAGAAGCCCTGAAACTAACAAGCGTTACACTCATTCAACAGCTGAGGCTGACACTTTACACATATGCGGTTCTATGTAGAAAAAAGTTTTATTACTAAATGATTTCAACTATTGGCTTTCTATATTTTGAAAGTAATGATACTGTCTTCATTTTTTACTGCTGGTTTAATACAAAATATGCAGAGCTTGTTTGCCTCCCATAAGTAGTGTCAGCTCCAATGTGAATGTCACAGATATGGCTCTTCACGAGCAGACTCTGAGGAGACTCCAGTTTAGCAGAAAGCGCTGCACCACGTCCATGTGGACAGGCAGGAGGAAGCAGAGCTGCCCTGCATTGTCTGCCATCATTTCTGGAAGGAAGCCTGCAGACGCAAGAGGAAGCTGGCGGCCACATGCAAATGTATCCAAATGTCAGCAGGGCACCCTGGCCAGTTGATGCAATGATCCAGTTCCCAGATCTCCATATTCCCTGATGAGGCAGTTTTGACTGGGACAGGGGTTGGGGATACACTGCCCCCTCTTCTGAAGCAGATGTGTGCCAGGGGACAGCTAAGGATTGTCATATTCCCAGCTACGATGACTTGGCTGCTGTTGAGGGCAGTGCAGTCTGAAGGTCATCGGGAACCTACTGGCATCTCCTTCTATGTCCTCCATGACAGACTGTGACCAAAAATGTGGGAAAGAGGGAAGGCTTGTGGATCATGAGTGTCAGCGTGAGGTCTGTGGAGATGAGTTGGTTGGCACAGACACACTAAAGGCAGCTGTTCATTCACTGCACATCATCTTCCATCGTCTCATCCTTCAATGACGAGACTCTGAAGTATACTTTTGAAGTCTGGTTGCAATAGCAAGATTCAGAATATACAATCACTGAGTACAAGTAGCCACATTTCTCCCAAACTGAGCAGAGACAGGAGAGTCCATCTTCACAGGCTGCTGGGAGTGTTAGCTTTCTTCCCAGGGCAGTGAAGACTAAAGAAGGAGCGTGACAGTGCCCGCTGGTGTTTGCCTTGTAAGAATTAATCAAATGACAGGGTGGGGAATCTGTTCAATCCAGACTAAAGGCATAATCTTTTAGCTCTATCGGTGTTTGAAGTACATTTATATCCAAATGTTAATAAACATAAATGTATAATACTAAGTACCGACTTTTTCACTGCAAAATGTTTTCAAGGGAAGTTCACCAAAACAAATTTGATGAGTGAAAGATTTCCTAAAGAGTCTTACTTCGAATAAACACATTAAACGTGTCGAAATGTTTGAAATTACAGTCATCCGAGAAAGCATATCTCTTACAGAGCATATTTAGTTTTAATTAAGGTATCTCTGTGTATCTACACTGGGCTAATTGCATAGGGTCTGATTCTCTGTGATCTACTGGAGAAAGCTATTGATTACTTCTGCAGTAAACAGCAGTGCTAATTAGCTTCACATGACCAAAGAGGAAGCAAGTGGTTATCAGCACTAACAAGGGTAGTCTTCGCTGGAGAATGCGTGCATGTGCAACTCATAAATTAAATGTTGCAAGACCTCATCTATCACCAACAAGATCTCATTTTTCTTCAGAGATAGGAACATAAACATTAGAGTTACTAAATCCTCAATTTGAAAATAAACTGTTGGTTAAATAAACAGGGGGAGGGAAGTTCAGCGACAGCGTGTTAGAGAGATTCTTACCAATCATGCCAAGCAAGTGTTTCTGCCCTTTGATGTGGTCTCAGTTTAACACGATGTGCCCGAAACACCATCATTTGCCCCAGTCCTAGAGTTGGCAAGTTGACTTAAATTTTTTTACCTATCTGACATCCTCTTCAGCCTTAAAAGCAAGAATTAGTCATGCTTTCCTTCAGTCCCCACATGAAAGGTGCCACCAAATACAGGGACCGTCTGATAAGGGCTGAGCCTCTTACAGAAAGCATCTCACGGTAGTTGATTTGGAGAAAACAAAAACAATAGTTTACGTTCCTGTAGACCAAGGCACCCAGGTCAAGGCTGAACATGCGCCACTTATTTCAGAGAACAAAGAGGCACTACTGCCAAATGGATTGGAAGCTCATTCATTCCACTGTAATGTTGACTGTCTTTGACCAACACATGTTTGAGTGTCGTTGTAACAGAGCACAGAAAGAAAGAAGTGCACAAGGAGAGGGAGTTTAGAAGCCACCAGAAGACCTATTTTTCCATATCTGAGTTTTCTACCCTCGTAGTAGAAAAATTATAAATTGAGAATGACATAGGTTATTTTTCATTAAGCCTAGAAAACTTGATCTGAAGTGTGATGAGTGTGGTTTCCGTTAATTTTTTTTTTTTTACAACTGTTTTATCCTGTAATAAAAACAGTCCAAGAAGCTGTGTCTTGGAATTCATCAGATGTAGGCCAGGCCCCTCCAGCTCCGCGGTGGCTTTGGTTTGCTCTATATTAAGACTGTCCCCATCATGTGAAGATGCCAGGGCGGGTTGTCTCCAGCTGCATCCCGTTCCCACCTGCCTCTTTGTACTCAAAATCAGTCCCTCCCAAACACTCCATCTGCTGAACAAGGAAAGTGGGAGAGCGGAAGCATTTTTGAGTCAGGGTAAAGTGCTTGGGAAAAGAGCTGGAGGAGTCGTGGGAGTTTATATAATTAGCAAATTCTTTTCTTAGAATCCAGCAGAAAAGTATTTCTGTTGTTATTATTTACAAAATAGTGGCCTCGGAGGAGCTGTCTTTTGGAAAATAAGTTTTCATTCACAGAGTCTGACACGCATGACTTATTGAGTCAATAAGCTGTGGACCAGAAAAGGGCTGATTAAATGAATTCACATTTTCTAATTCTTTCTACGCTGTTCTTAATCTTCTGGATTCATAGCCCGTGATCTTTGTTGCTTCTGCTCTTTGATCAAGCAAATGAGAACAGGTGAGACCCACCTTTTCAAGAAAGACTTAAAAGCAATAGCCACAGACAGGAGGGAATTAAGAAGGACCCAGGCATGGTGAAGGCCAAAGGGCCGGTCTGCACTGAGCTGGGGGTTGGAGAAATGAAGCAAGAGATACTGGAAGTTGGCCCCTGCCCCTGATTGGTACAGATAGGAATCTTGTTCTAACAAAACAGCCAGGGCTCCTTGAGCTAGGAGCAGTGCCTTTGTGGGAAGCAAGCCAAAGCTCAAATCTGGATGACAGAGGAAGGAATTTCTTTTGAGAAATTCTATAACAATAAGACAGCTGAGGATTTGGGTAGACGCCCTTAGAAGCTTCTCTTGTGCATGTGATAGGCCTGCCATGTATATATCTGGCACCACTGACTTCCAGGTGCTCTCAACCTTTTGTTCTCAGTGACCATTTGTTTTTGGTCTGTTAGCTGGGATTCTGGGGGCGGGGCCTCTGGAGCACCTTCTACTGCAGAGGGCTTTTTTGGGCTGAGGGTTTTGCCACTGCCTGCAGCCTGGCTTGTATTGGGCAGACCGATTCCCTTCACAAGGGCTGCTGTCTTAAGAGATTGGCTGATTCTGTTCTCTTCCATAGTGGTAATCAATGCCCCTAAGCCCCCCTTGTTCTTTACTGTGTAAGTACTTCATCGGCATCCCTTCTCATCAATTCTTCATCCTTGTCACTGAATTTAGCCCTGCCCACACTAACTCTTGTTCCATCGGGCACCCCCTCTCTACCTGACCCTGGCTTTTTGAAGAAGACAAGCCTCTCAGAAGCCAGGTGACAAGAGGATGATTCTAATCCCTGAGTGGGGAGTTCATCCTTCCAGCCCCTACCCTGAGCTCCTTCTTAGCTTTGGGATTGTCTGGTCTGCCACATCCCAGCCAGGAATCCCTCTGTTGCCCTGGGCACAATGATGAGCTGCTGCTCCCTCCGGAGACAGCCCGAGGGAGCAGCGCCACCTGCAACTCCTGATTGTTCTGAGCCCCAGCCCAGGGGATGGGGAAGGTGCACAGGCGTTTCAATAAAGTGCCTGCAGAGAGCCGCATGCAGCCTGCGAACAGCCATCGAGGTCTCAGCCCCCTGAGGTCCCCGGGCTCATTTGACCAGCGCAGCTGCGGCTTCGGCTGCCTGCCTCTGGCAGGTGCCAATATCAGCATCTTGTCCCACTGCCAGGGGGAGTTTATTTTTGCTCAAGGGCAGCTGCCAAGCCCAGCACCAGCATCAATGGAAGGTTTTCTCTGCTTTTCTTCTCTTCATCCCAGACCAGGCTTTCTTAACAACCCCATTTTCATTTTCGTAGTAAGAGCCAAGAGTCTGGCCAGAGACTTTGGCCCCTTCTTTCATTTTAACAGCCTTCTCCCTGCCGCTCACCCGCTCACCCAACCTTTGCTAGCAGAACGTGTGACCCGTGGTCCGTAGGTACTTAACTCTGGGCGAATGAGAGACTTGAC